CCATCAGGAATGAGAGGAGGGGTTGGATGGGGCGGTGGGGGGCAGTCAGGGGACAGCGAAGGGGGGTGGATGGGGCAGGGATCCTGGGGGGGGCATCAAGGAACGCGGGTGGTTGGATGGGGCAGGAGTCCCGGGGGGGGCGGGGCGGGCCACGACCCCCTTGTGGGGTGAGGAGGGAACTGGTTGTTCAGATTTTGGCAGCTCATCACTGCCAATACTGCTAAGAACCTGATATATGGACTCTGAAGTCTTATTTATGTATATGACCGCTTTTACCATTTAACACCTCTCTTCTTGTTCGTTTTTCTCTTCGTGTTCTTTTATTGTTTTCTAATAAACCTTTAGTTTTAGATTCTAAAGGATTGCCTGGCAGCATGATAGTTGGGGTAAGATCCAAATTAATATTGACCTGGGGTAATGTGTCTGGCTCTTTGGGGTTCGGAAGAAAATTTTGTATAGTGAACAGAGGTGGTGGGGTTTTTTTTGTTTTTTTTGTTTTTAATAACTACTCACTGTACTGGACCTATGTGCTGATTGGGAGCCAGAGAACTGGAGTGCAATAAAGGGGGCTATGTGATGACATGAATAACGTTATTGCCCAAGAATCTGATCCTGTAACAGGCAGAGCACCCCCAGCTTCTCTGACTGATTCATAAAAATAACATTGTTCATACTCACCTATCTCACAACGTTGTCCTATCCATTCCTCTGGGCAAAAGCAGCGTCCATTTTTATACTCTCCCTTGTTTCCACAGATCAGAGAGGATGGGGATGAGGTTTCTGTTTAAAAAAAGAAAAAAGTTGACAAATGGAAGAGCCATCACAATGCTTTCATTATATTCTATGAGTCACATTCCAGCAGATACGACACAGATGTCCCATTTCCATCCCCAACCTGCCAAAATATTGCCATCAGCAGCAGGAGTATGGTGCAGAAGTGTCCCATCTCTGCTTTTGGGCTCCCTTAAAAACTTAGGCAAAGGTTGTTCTGTAGAGCCTCCACAACAGGAGGAGCTGAGAGTCTATGGCTTAGGCATTTAGGATACACTTACACTGCACCTGGGAGATGTGATTCCCAGCACGGCTAGACAGATGTGTGCTAGCTCCACCTGAGCTGGCATGTTAAAAATAGCAGCGTGGCTGTTGCAATAACACTGGCGGAGGTTCGAGCTAGCCACCCACGCTCAGACCCAGGGAGTCAGGTGGGCTTACACTCAGGTGTGCAGCTCGAGCCACCACCTATGCTGAAACCTCCACACTTATTTTTAGCACGCTAGCTTGAGCTGAGCTAGTGCAAGTCAGTCTACCGGGCTGGAAATCACCCCTCCCAGCTGCAGTGTATGCATACTCGCTTAGGCCCCAATCCTTCAAGGAGCTCCGCATGGGTGAACTCCTGCACCTATGTAGAACCTGGATGATTTCAATGAGATTCCACATGGAGCTCCGTGCAAGATGCGAGCCATTGATTCTATGGTGGTAAAGGGCCCTAGAAATACTACAGCCAAGGGGACAATCGCACAGACCAGAATCACTAAGAAGAGTTCTAGGTTGAGCTGGGGGTGCAGAGTGTAATTTATAAAACACACATATGCCTGCAAACTCAGCATCATCGAGGCTGTGGCCAACCCAAATAGAACTACTAGGCTTTCTTCTGGCAACTAGCAGAAGTTGCTAGATCGCAGGCCCTGGTTCTCATGGGAGACTTTAATCACCCTGATATCTGCTGGGAGAGCAATATAGCGGTGCACAGACAATCCAGGAAGTTTTTGGAAAGTGTAGGGGACAATTTCCTGGTGCAAGTGCTGGAGGAACCAACTAGGGGCAGAGCTTTTCTTGTCCTGCTGCTCACAAACAGGGAAGAATTAGTAGGGGAAGCAAAAGTGGATGGGAACCTGGGAGGCAGTGACCATGAGATGATCGAGTTCAGGAT